ATAGTTTCTTGTTAAGTTGGTTTCCATATAACACCCAGTGCTCATCCCAAGTGCCCTCCTCCATGCCCATCACCCCTTCCCCTCTCCCCCACACCCATTAGCCCTCGGTTTGTTCTCTATATTTTTCTTTCTTTTTTTTTTTTTTAGAAGATTTCCATTTTTTTAAATGTTTTATTTATTTCTAGGAGAGAGAGAGAGAGAGAGAGACAGCGTGAGCAGGGGAGGGTCGGAGAGAGAGGGAGTCACAGACTGAAACAGGCTCCAGGCTCTGAGCTGGCAGTCAGCACAGAGCCCGACGCGGGGCTCGAACCCATGAACCGCGAGATCATGACCTAAGTGAAAGTCGGATGCTTAACCGACTAAGCCACCCAGGTGCCCCTCTGTATATTTTTCTAACTCACTTTAAGTTTCTCTTTTTTTTTTTAGTATTTGCTTTGTATGTATAAACAAGTGATCCCATCAGAACCCAAAAAAGAATCATAGATATGTCTTATTTGCTGTCTCTCAGAACGCACTTAAATAAAAGCGTTAATTGGAACCTAGTATAAAAAGAGTTATCTGTATTTCTTACATGTTTTATAATATAAGATTTGAGGGCCATGAATATTAACTGGTATTCAGTAGATACATATAAGTTAGTCTGTTGAATCTTTATTTTTATTAAACCCTTTTGGAAACAGCTTATTTTAAACAAATGAAGGAAGGTAAATAGTTTAAGCAATTTGAGGATACATATTGTATGTTTTTGACTATAAATTAACAATATGATTGATTTAAATGGACATTTCAGTCGTTGATTCTAAAAGTTGAGCTAATGTGACAGATGGAATTCAGCTGCCCAAGCAAGCTTCTGGGTTTGATTATTCAAGTGATTAAGATGCTATTTGTCAACTCTAGTTTACCACCCCTTTTAATTATATAGATAATCAAACTAAGAACTGCTAATTCTGTCTCCTAACTATTAATTGTTTGTAATTACCCGCAGATTAAAACTGCATGTGCAATTAACTCAAAGAATTAATTGATACAAGGGAATTGATAAAAGGGAAACAGAACAAGCTTGGCATAAAAAAGGCTCTAGGGACACAGGGCCACTTGAACCCACTAGTGTCTTGGGCTCTATCATGTCCTTGTAAAGATATTTCACACTTTCATTCGGACTTCTTCGGCTCTGTTGGATGCAGTTGCTTAGACTATTTCTTTTGAACTACTATATTCTTGCTTCCACATTATTATTATAGACCGTTTCTTAGTTCTTCATTCATGGTTGACTGGCACAATATATTTAAAAAGCTTAAACTTCTACTGTCTTTGGGTCTTTTGATAATTCAGGTGACTTGGACAAATATATTCATTTGAAACCTGGAGGAAATGTTTGTCACTCTGAAGATTACAGAAGTGGTGAATGTTTCAACTATCTAGGAATATTCCCTTCCTTCCTTTCTCCTTTCTTCATTCTCTTGTCATTATCACATTAGTATAGAACTTTATCAGTTTTCTGTGAGTCATTTGAGAAATTTTAGTTTCTAAAATGACTTTGATGATTAGAATTTAGAACTGTTTCTTACCTTTGCAAGTAATTGGCTCATTAACAACATAAATTTAAATGTAAATGGGAAAAAATTTAAAAAACACTCCTAACTGAAATGTGTTTAAAAATTATTACCTTTACAAACATCAAGATGATGCTAGAAAGTGAGAGAAGATAATCTGATGGAAAATACTTGAACCTGAAAAATATAGAATTTTAAAAACCTGTCGTAAATTGTTTTCCATTCTTTTAGATATTTGTGTCAGTTTCATTGTATGGGGCTTTTCACTCTTAACAGTTTTGGTGATTGGCCTTTCAATGAATGCCAAGTATGTCCAGGAGCATATATTGAACATATGCTTCAGGCACAGCATTATATTCAGTTTTATGGGAAATACAGAGTAGGTAAAAGACTTTTGAGGTAAAGGGTGCCTGGGTGGCTAAGTCAGTTAAGTGTCACACTTTGTCTCAGATCATGATCTCACAGTTTGTGGGTTCGAGCCCCTTGTCAGGCTTTGTAATGACAGCTCAGAGCTTAGAGCCTGCTTTGGATTCTATGTCTCTGTTCCCCCTCTTTTCACACTCTGTCTTTTTCTCTCTCAAAAATAAAAATAAACATTACAAAAATTAAAAAAAAAAAAGACTTAAGTTTAGGTATAAAAATAAGATGTGCAGAAGACAACAAAATAACAAGAACTAAATATATAATAGTTTTCAGAAAGAGTCTACGTAAGTATTGAGGAAATGCAAAGGCAGTATGGGTAGTTATTTAACCAATTTTTTTATGTTCTAAGTTAGCTGCTATTCCACCAGCTTGTTAACCTGATGGAAACTTCTTGGTTACTTTCCAAATTTAGATATTTCATTTTTCCCAGATTTGTTTAATATCAGAATATTTTGCTCTATCCTGCTGGCTGTTAAACTGGGATTACTGCTAAGATTTCTTATTTTTTCACCTATCAATAAGCAGCCTACTCTTGCTCACTCCCCTACCCCTTCCAGCATTCAGAATCTTCACTCTCTGTGGCATTATCTGTGAAGATTGTTGGCTCCGTGAGGGTTTGTGAACATTTAGTCTGATGTATGACTTTGTTCTTCAAACTATCAGTTTATAACTTTTGACTGACTTTGTGGAATAAACTGGAATTTGTTGCATGTCACCTTCCGTGCCTGGCTTCTGAGGAGAAGTCATTAGCATACATCAGTGTGTGAATGATTACCTTGAGGATTTTAGTGGAGGGTTTACTGCTTCTTGAAGTGGAAAAGTTATAGCTATATTTTCTAGTGTGATACCTATATACTGGAGAAAATAATGCATGGCCTTCTCAACTGCATGAGTCTGTTTCATAGGTAAACAAGATAAAATATTTGAAATGCTCTGGACTGTCTTGAAAAATGATTTGTATAGCACTTAGTTTCATTTTGGGTTGGGCTCTTCAATGATCAGGAAGGCTTCCTTTTCCTGTGAGATCTCACCTTCAGAGGCTAATTCTTGTTCACCGGTATTTACATAGCTACCTTAATTGCATTGCTGATGAACCAGAAGCACAGAGAAATTCCAACTAAGATATTGTCTCTGTCCGGGAAGCATTTATCAATTTAAAAAAGAGACTGCATTGAAGAGGGCACTTGTTGGGATGAGCACTGGGTGTTGTATGTAAGCAATGAATCATGGAAGCTACTCCCAAAACCAAGAGCACACTGTACACACTGTATGTTAGCCAATTTGATAATAAATTATATTTAAAAATAAAAATTATAATTACAAAAAATAAAGTAAATTAGACCCCAGTAAAACAAAATTAAAAAGGAGATTGGAAAGAGATGCCCAATTATCTAAAACATGTGAAAACATTTATGGTGCAAGTTCATAAAGGGAAGTGGTCCAGGGATAGTGCCAGTGAGTTGAGGAATGCTTCAAATTACTCAGGAAAGTGTCATAAGAAATGGGAGGCTTATACATCTCTAATAATCCTTATTCTACCCTTTTAAGTCCCCCTGGGTTTATAAAAGTCCCCAGTTAAAGTTTAATGTGTACAGCCTTTTCTTTGCTGACCTCTTCTCAGATACTAATATGTTCAGGTTTCCTATAATCTTTCCATTGTTGGCATTTGGTTCCATTAAAGAATTTTACTTATTCATATTGCATTCTGATTGAAATACACGATTTATTATGTTGCCTCTTCTAGACACTTTGCCTTTTTGATAGAAGACAAAGATTCTCTTTTGACTAAAGTGGAAGAAATTATATAAAGTTAGAATGGGGAAGGATGTGTGCATGTTATTGATTGGGGTGTATCTGAGATAACATTATATTTTTTAAACTATTTTCTGTTACTACTCTGTCTCCCTATAGGACACTTAGCTTATGATCTTGTAAATAAGTTGAAGCCATGAAATGAGAGAATTTATTACTTCTGAGTTTTCTCTAAATTTATGTGAAATTAAGCAGTCCATAGATGTCTTTATTAAATCAAAAGTTTCAGGAAAGAATATATGTATATAAATACGTATTAGAAAGAAAATTGGAAATGTGAAAACAGTTTGATTCATTTTGGGTAGCAGGATTGAACTGAATTTTTCCCTCTTAAATGATTAATGTTTCTGAGAAACAGGCAAATAAATCTTAAATCTTCTCATCTTTAAACAAAATTTCTCTGCAGAAATCCCATGTAACATTTCTTCATGAGCCAGAAGAAATATGTGGGCATATGTTGGCTAACCTTTTGATCTTTCAACTTACTTATCTAGAACGCTTTTAATAATTTCACTTACTTTGCAATTTCAAAATGTGTACTCTCATCATAATTCTGAGTTATTTTTTAAAAATTTCAATGTTTGTTTTTATTTTTGAGAGAGAGAGAGAGAGAGAGAGAGAGACGCACAGACAGAGCACAAGTTGGGGAGGGGCAGAAAGAGAAGGAGACACAGAATCTAAGGCAGGCTCCTCCAGGCTCTGAGCTGTTAGCATAAAGCCCAACATGGGGCTCGAACCCATGAACTATGACATCATGACTTGAGCTGAAGTCGAACACTCAACTGACTGAGCCACCCAGGCGCCCCTGAACATTTTTTTAAAGTACTGATGTAACAGGGAGAGGAGTTTTCCCTTTGTTTTTGTAAGTGTTATTCACAAATACGATTTTGCTTTGAGCCTCCTTTAAATAAAGAAGTCAATGCTCTTGAAGAGAAGAGAGTCAAAAGGATGAACCTGGTTTTCCGATGGGTACACTGTCCACGATAAAAACACAAGAGCTTTACTGTGTAATGGAGCCAATTAATAGAAGCCTCTCTCTGTGCTGTGCTATTGCTTCTGCAATCTCTGATTAGAAGACAAGGTGCGATTTTAATATATAGTAATGGGGCCATAATGATGATTTACTTTTCTCTTCGTAACATTAAGCAGTATGTTCCATGTGTACTTTTCTTGGATAAATATTGTTTTAACTTACATTGATATTTCTAACAGATAAAACATTCTATGACTCGAGAGGAATTATGTCAACAAAGTCTACCCGTTTGGCTCCTGATGCCAGCTGGCCTAGTTTGTATGGGTCATCATCAGTGTTTCGGGATTACCGTTCTGTGAGTATTTGTGAAACTAGACATAGAGTTGCATTACCATTCTTTTGGCAGATTATTTGGTTACTTTTGATATAAAATGTGAGATTGTACTATGGACGTATTTCATTCTCAAAATAATTATCCACTGAAATTCTTTGTCCTGAAGCAGTGCTTTAGTTCTGTTATCATGTTTTGTGCAAAATTTGCATCTTGTGGATCACCTTAACTCCTAAATATGTGTATTAATTTTTATTTGAAGATTACTGACAGCCAAAGTGATCATCACAGTGGTTTGCCCCAGCTGTGATAGTAACTGTTTTTGTAATGCTACCTAGACCAGCAAGTAAATATAATGGAGGCCTGTGGAGCACTGTTAGGAGTGTGACAGAGGACTAAAAAATCCAAGGACAATTCCACAACCACACATTGATGGTTTCACAAATGTGGGCTCTTTAAACTAAAACATAGGAATCTGGGACTTGGAATCTGGCATCACTTTGAGTTTATCTACTCATCAGGGCAGGTCCTAAGATGTTTCTATACCAATAGTAGAGGAAACTCATGTGATTCTGAAATCTTTAGCAACAATTTCACTGTGTGTGAATGTGTCTGTCTCATCCTTTCACTGACTCTTTTTCTCTTTTTGTATCACTAATTACTTTTCTTCTTGACCTGTCATTTGTATTAATGTGCTTGGCAGTCATAACAAAATACCACAGACTGGGTGGCTTAACCAACAGAAACTTATTTCTCAAAGTCCTGAAGGTTGAAAGTCCAAGATTAAGGTGCTAGCAGGTCTGTTTTCTCCTGAGGCCTCTCTTTCCTTCGCTTGCAGACAGCGGTGTCCTCACGTGGCCCTTCCTGTATATGTCCCTGGTGTCTGTCTCTTCTTATGTGATCACTAATCATATTGGATTCGGCCCCTACCCCTATGACCTCATTTAACCTAATGACTTCTTTAAAGGCCCTGTCTCCAAATACAGTAACGTTAGGGGTTAGGGCTTCGACATAAGCATTTTGAGGTGACATAATTCAGTCCATAACACCATTAGACAACTGGAATATGTTGAAAAATTATTTTTCCTATCTATTGAGTACTTCATCTACAATTAAATAAATAAAGATTGTGTTTTTATATTTTTCCTATAAAGAAAAACTTTTTGAATCATGTCATATATAATTTATATTGGTAAATTTGTGAATAGATTTGTTGAAACTAAACACCGTTTTAGACAAGGACATTATATGAATATCATTAAGGAAAATAATATGATGTCTTTAACAAAAACAATATCCATAGAAGGTTTTTTTAAATTATCTCCCAGTAAAGGTAAAAAAATGAATTGCTGCTTCTAAGCTTTCCAGCTCTACCCTGTTTTACACTAACAATTTAAAGACGGCTCCTAGATGTGTGACAAGCTACATTTAAATATATTTCTTTGGGGAATATATCTGGCAAGAGCAGACTTGATTGTGGAGAGCTCCAAATGCAAGACAGGGAGTATTTATTCATTGTTGAGTGGGGAATTAGGAACACAAAAGGCTATTACCCATAGCTTTGACATAAAAAATAGTGCTTTGGGTATGTGCACATGTCTAAAGAGTTTGGGGTAGACTGGAGTGGAGACTGGGTGAGCATGAATAGGCCTTTTTTATCAGTCCAGTTAAAGGCTTGTCTCTTATCCTTGCAAACCAACAGTACTAGGGTGGGTGGTGGGTGGATGTGTGTGAATGGATAAAAGGGTGTAGGATTCAAACTTTCAAATTTCTTTTCTGCAGCTTATTTCATTTTCATTTTCTACCACTGAGAGTCTAAATGGCTTTTTTTTTCTTAAGAATTGCTCTTTTGTTTATCCTTAAAAATAATCACAATCCTAGGATGAATCAAACAGTAATTTCTAAGTAATCTTTGTTTCCCAAAATTTTTTATTGTGGTAAACTACACTTAACATAAAATTTACCGTTTTAATAATTTTGAAGTGTATCATTTGGTGGTATTAATTACACCTACATTGTTGTGTAACTATTACCACCATCCATCTCCAGAACTTTTTCATCTTTCCAGACTGAAACTCTGTACCCTTTAAACATTAATTCTCTCTCTCTTCCCTTATATCCTGGCAACAAGCATTCTACTTTCTGTTTCTATGGTTTTGATTTTTTTTTTTTTTGTGATTGGCTCATTTCCTTTGCATAATGTCTTCAAGGTTCATTCATGTTGTAGAATATGTCAGAGTTTCCTTACTTTTTAAAAAGACTGAATAATAATACTGTTGTACAGGTCTCCCTGCTATCTCAAAGTAGAACATTCCTGTGAAAATTTTTTGTAAGCTGAAATCACATAAAGTGAAGAAATAATTACCATTGTTTTATATGGAAAAAATTTCAAGTGTTCCCTGATCCCAAAAATAACTTCTCCTAGACCTTTCTGATGTCTTAGGATACATCTTGCTAATGGATGAACAAAATGCTTTAAGATAAAGCACTGATGGTCATAAGACACAGTTCAAAGGTATGGTGGCTTGATGCTGAGATGCTGAGTGGAGTTTCCCCAGAAGGAGCTAGGTGAGGCCACTCTCACTGGGTTGTGCTGCCTTTATAATGTCTTGCTGCAAAACAAATGTTGAATGCTATTTTCACTTTTCACCTTTTTTTTTTTTAAATAAAAGCAAAAATCTACCTTGGATTTTTTTTTTTGGTTAGCAAAAGCAGCTACTAACATAGGTGTTTCCTAAAAGTGAAGTGGCAGAATGCGAACTTTCAAAAAGCAGGAGACACTTGTACCATATTTTGTTTATCCACTGATTTGTTGATGGACACTTGAATTTCTCTTACCTTTTTGGATATTTTGAATAATCCTTCTTTGAATATGGGTTTATAAATATGTTTGAGTCCTTGCTTTCACTTCTCTTGGTATATATCCAGAAGTGGAATTGTTGGACTATCTTGTATTCCTATGTTTAATATTTTAGGAATCATCATATTGTTTTCCACCATGGCTGCACCATTTTACATTCCCAGTAGCAAGGCACAAATGTTCCAATGTCTCCATATCCTCATCAGCGCTTATTACATTATCCATTTTCTTGATAGCAGTCTTACTAATGGGAGTGAAGTGGCACATAAAATTGATCTGAGTTTTTTCAATCAGTCCAAAAAATAAGTAGGAAAAAAAGAATGTAGAAACCTGCACTGGTAAAAGAGGAGTGGCCACAGGGTACAGAAAACCTTGTCTTTGATTTTGTAGGAGGAGAGAAAAATTTTGCACATTCTGCTTTCAAAACACCCTCTACAGCATAGTTATTCCTAATCAAAAGTTTAATTCACCCAGATAAGAAAGCGTAAATATTTAAGATAAGAAAGTGTAAATCCTTTGTGTAAATATTTAGTAGTACAATGGCTAGATCATAGGGTAGTTCTATTTTCAGCTTTTTGAGGAACCTCCTTACTGTTTCCCAGAATGGCTGCACCACTTTGCATTCCCACTAACAGTTGAAGAGGATTCCCCTTTCTCCATATCTCCACCATGTTTTCAGTTCTAAGTAAATAATAATTTAATAATGTTATATGCCTTTAGTTTTAATGTTTCATTTCTGAAACTGCAGCCTTATTATATTGGAATTATGTTATTAGAATTTCTACTTACTTTAAGCAATGTCATATGGTCCCCTAAAATGTCTTTGTATGAAATTAAAGAAACTGCATCCTAAAGAAAAGGTTACTGATGGTACTTTTTATAATTTTTGGAGTACTGAGATATTTATAGCCATAATTGTCTTGAAAGATAGTATTTTTCATGGTAAATACATACCTGAATATGTAATCTCTTGTGTAACATAACAATGTGATTTTACATGGCAATAATATAGGAAAGACCACAATCTCCAACTTTCTTACCACAGTTTCATTTTATGATTCTTCTTTTAAAGGTTTGCTAACATTTATAATAATGTATGAAGCAATCTTGAAACCCACAACCTGGAGAACTCTAGTTATAGAAAACAACCTTGGTATCTATCAAAGTTCTGGGATGGAAAAATTAATGTCTTTATCAATAATGTTCTTAAAATAGCGAGGATAAAGACAAATATTGACAGAAATTTGTATAAGTAGTAAATTTCTAGCTAAAATTGGGAAGCAGGAGAAAATGCAGTAACTTTTATCCATTAGTTGTTAGTAAGACAAACGTCTCCTCAGAGGGTGGTTATTAACTACATTTCAGTGCTCTTCCTGAGGGGAATATGTCGTTTGGTGGTATCTTCCAGTGAGGATGGCGTTGCAAGCCAAGGATGCGCACACGTGTCCATGATGGGATGGTGATGGGGTTCAAGGTAGCAGAACGGAGGGAAAAGAGCAGTTGTGGTTGTCTGACATGGGGGAGTAGGGTGCATTTCAGGAATTGAAAGAAGCTCATTACAGTAAAAGTGTAGCACATTCTAAGGGCAGAGTGGCAAGAAATGAAACTGAAAAGGGAAGCAAGTCCCTATTACCATGAAGTGTCTTTGTAGGAATACTGTCAGTCACATTACCTTCTTAACTCTGTTGCAAGGAATTTGCCTAACGTTGACACTTGGACATAAGGGATTACAAGAAAACAGAATTCAGTTTAATAATTAGTTGCATTATAAATTGTTTTGTGTTTCAGAGAACAAACTGTGTATCAGTCCTCTGGGCACTTGGCTTCATTCCCCTCTGGACCATCCCCGTCTTCCCTCAGGGAACACATCCTACATAGGAGAGAGGAAAACAACTCACTGGTCATATTCGTAAACATACTTATATCTACATCTTGTAAACAAAATTCACTGGTTTTTATGGAAACACTTTTTAGAAATGAAAAAAAAATTCAAACATAGCATTATCATTCTTCGCATGAGCTTGATTTTGTTTTTAATTTAAATTTTTAAATTTTTAAATTTTATTCCAGTACAGTTAACATAGTGTTATATTTCAGGTGTGCAACATAGCAATTCAACAATTCTGTATATCATTACTTGGTGCTCATCATAAGTGTATTCTAA